AGCTCTGTGGGTCACTAGAAGAGGGCAGTTAATGCTAGTGAGGCAGGTGATTGCTAAAATCCCTAGACAGGCTATGGATGACCCGGGTATATTTCCAGCGGCTCTTTCGGGGGTGAGCGCTACAAGTGAGGGCTTCTCATTCGGGTTATCTTCTGATACCTCTTGCAGAGTGATGACCACACCAACGAGCCAAACAAACACTTTGGATCCATTACAAGTGGTTCATCACAGAGGTGATACAGAAGTACCCGTTTATTCCAGCGGCTACTTCGGGGGTGAGCGTTACACTTGGTACCTTTGTCCTGTCTTCAGTCCTAGCATTAATCTTTAGTTCACTTGTACTCACTGTCTGTCCTCTTTGGTATGCTCAAGCACTCTGGTACCCACACCTCCCTGAGGTACATGAAGGGGTCTGTTGAATGTTAAGATTTGGAGACAGCTGTGTACAATGGCAATTCATCTAGAGGCAGAAGAGCTTGCCAGACCCTGGACCTATCTCCTTGAACCCTTGACTGGTGATGTGGCAGCTAGATCTGGGAGGACTTTCTTATGCTACAGGACATGAATGATGGCAGAAATCACTCTGAGGAGTATAAGCAGTAGAAGCCAATGTTCTTTTCTACAGGTTCTGGAGGTGTGTTCTGACAACAGGAGGTAGACAGAGACTGCAGACATACTACAGGAGATGGTCAGGGACTACAGACATGCTAAAGAAGGTGGTCAGGGACTGCAGGCATGCTATAGGAGGTGGTCAAGGACTCAAAGCATGCTTTGTTCTGAAAAGGTTCTGGCCAGGAGTGGCCAGAACCTTTTCTGTTTTACTTTCCCTCCCGTTTTCCTTTTTTCTCCGTTTCCTTTTTACCTATTCTACTCTTTCTTTTTATTGTAAAAAACTTTCCGATTCCCACTACTCAGAATAGCCGAATTGGGCTAACGGACCGCTATCTCACTATGAGCTGGCACAATCCAGTTTATAGCGGTACCTATTGGCCAATTTCTAATAAGTAGTAAATGTTGAATATACATGAAGACTGGCTTTGTACTGTGTATTATAGGAGAACTATGGGGTAAGGTAAGTGTTTTTCCCCATAGTTCTCCTAAGGGTCACAGGAGGACATAAACGGGCGTCCTCCCGTTACCCTAAGCTCAGTATATTGCGAGCTACAGCTCGCGGTATACTGAGACCGCCGCAGCCGGGACGGATCCTGACATTACTGTCGAGATCCACCCAGCTGCGTGAGTGACAGCTGGCTCTGCCTATCTAGAGGCAGAGCCAGCTGTACCTGCCCCCTCCCCTCTGCGATCCTCCTGTGCTGACTGGCGGAACAGACGGAGGAGGGGGCAGGGACAGCTGGCTCCTTGGGGAATCCTTGCAGGGAGCCGTGAGTGACAGACACGGCTCTCTGCATGGACATGATCGAGAAGTGAGCGAGCAACGGTATGTGTTCGCTCACTTCCCAATCTATTGAGCCGGCCTGTGACAGTTTCATTGTCACACGTCAGCTCATACTATGAGGCTGAGTGAAAATCACTCACCTCATAGTTCTCCTTTAAGTCTGCTTGTTTATACTTCATTGCCTGTTTTGTTAATTTGGAAAACCAATACAAATTCTTGAATTAAAAAGGGAGAGCTCCGAATGGGCCTTAAGTGGTTGTTTATCAAGGATGCTGCTTGCACTGTCTAACATATAGTTGGCCACTAGCGGAAGTGCCCAAACATCTCTATACAGAACACCATCGTAAAAATGTGGAACAGCAAGTAAGGAAAAAAAAATTAAAACCTAAAAATGACTTTAAACATGAATTTACACTATGGAGTCATAAAACACGCTACATTTTGGTGTATCTTTTAATGCATGTTTTACCACGTCTTGCTGCTCTTTGCTGCATTTTTATATAACAAAGCACAACCCAGGGGCGTCCCGAGGCTGGGTGACACCCGGAGCGGTAACCGAGTGTCACCACGCGCGTGCGCGATGACATCAGCACGCGCGGCAGTATTCTGATACCTGCCGGCGGCCATCTTGGTGATGGACGGCGGCAGAGAGAGGAGGGGACAGTCACCCGACGGGATAAGGTATGCACCGGGTCCCCTCCTATCTCCTGATACTGTCGGGCGTTCTGTCCATGACCGAGCGCCCGACTTTTTTAGAGGGGAGTGACACCAAAATGACTGTGAGTCATTTTAGTGTCACCCCTCCAATGGTGTCACCCGGGTGCGGGCCGCACAACCTATAACTAGGGATGCACCGATACCAAGTACCGTACTCAGTACAAGTACAGATACTTTGAGCTCCAAGACTAGACTATAGAAACATTCAAAAGTTAGGAGGCAGCTGTCATTTGTAAGGAGCACGCGGAGCTCCTGGGATTTGTATGTATGATTTTGTTTTTATAAATATAAATTAAGGGATGAACCGATACTATTTTTCCAAGTACAAGTACTGATACTTACCCAAGTACTCACAGATACAAGTACTGATACATTTTTGTTTAGCGTCATGTGACAGTTTTTCTAAACAATACAGACTAATGATTTCAGGACAGTGGTGGAGCGCCAGAGCCTGGTCCCATCTGCAACCGATCCAACCCTGGTAGTTCTCATGAAAATGCCAAGTATCAGCACTGGTATCTAAAAAGTATCGGTGCATCCCTACCTATAACAAAATGCAGCAAAACATGGTAAAATAGATCTCAAAGATGTAAAACATAGGGGTCAATTTACACATTTTTCCCACAAGATTTACAGGACTTTCACCCAGAATTTACACAATTGAATCCAACTGGAAAATGTGTGAATCTTGGGTTGAAGTTTTCCTAATCTTGTGTGAAAACAATGTATCAATATATCAAAATTGGAACATATAATATCTGGAGCAGTTGCCTATGGCAACCAATCAGCTGCTATCTTTCATTTTGAATGCTTAACTGAACAAACTGAAGTTTACTATGGGCAACTGCTCCAGATTCCATCTGCTCCAGATTTGATAAGTTCCCCCCCTGGTGTTTTTATAGCACTATAGTGTGAATCCAGCCAAAATAATTTTAAAAAGCAGGGCTGTAACAGCTCTGGAATGTCGGTGAGAATTGCAGCCTGAACTGCTTTTTTAAACTCCAGAGGAACATTTACAACACAATGGCCAAAGTTGGACTTAATGGGAAACAGATATTCACATAATTTTATCCCTGGAAAAAATTGATTTAAAAAAAAAAATTGGAGAGTATTTGGAGGATTCCCATTGATGACTTGTCATTCTGAAAATGTTAGCTCCCTGGCTGTCAGACTGATACATTGAGGGGAGATTATCAAAACTTAAGCAGACAGGATCTGGAGTGTTTTCTCATAGTAACCAATCAGCTTCTAGCTTTCATGTTTAACCACTTGAAGACCACGGTGTTAAACCCCCTTTCTGGCCAGGCCATTTTACAGTATTCAGCACTGCGGTACTTTGACTGGTGTTTATTCCGTCATGCAGCGCTGTACTGAAATGAATTTTTGGGGACAGATAGAGCTTTCGTTTGATGGTATTTAATCACCGCTGGGGTCTTTATTTTGTTACTATATACCAAATAAATATAGTACCCTAAATTTTTTTTTAAAAAACCTGTTTCCCTATGAAATGTTATGAAACATTTATTATCACCCCAATTTTTTGGTAAAATATAAAAGATGGGGTCACGTCGGGTAAATAGACATGTAAAGCTTTAAAATTGTGCGCACCCGTGAAATAGCAGAAAACGACCACACCCAAAACTGGCCATAGGCAACGATTTAAAAGCTTTTACTGCTCATCAATTTGGTGTTATCAGTGTATGATGGTCCTAAAATGATTGCTCTCATTCCGATGTTCGCAGTGATAGGTAACATGTGCAGCACAATAGGTGAAATCATCGTTTTCGCATGTTGGTGCATCCAGCACATGCTTGCATATGTATGTGGAGGGGGGACGGGGGACTTAGAAAAAAATGTCAAATAACACAAAAAAGTATTTAATTTGTGACTATTTTTTTTAGCTTCTTTAATTTCTTTTAAACTTTTTTTTTACACTTAACTTTATTGCTATCACATAGGGGACTAAGAAATCCCCTATGTAATAGCCAATTCACATGACAGGTCCTCTTTGTGGAGACATCAGGGGTCTCTAAGACCCCTAATGTCACCTAGGGACCCCCAGAGAAGCTGATGAAGCAGAGATCTGCTTCATCAGCTTCTCACCAGCATCTGTAACCGGAGAGTGACACTGAATGCAGAGAGACACCCGATCGCTTGAATGTAACCAACTACAACCTCTCACATGTTTCACCCGCAGGCTTATTCATAGAGGTATTGTAGACAGGTTGTAGTTGGTTGGGGGTGTGCAGTGCTGGCATTTGTTGCTTTATACACTTTTACTCACTGATATACTGGATTTGCTGTAAATTTCAATAAAGTCTGCAGTACTGGAATTCTCTGGATAGTGCAAACTGAAAAGAGAAACTGATTGGTCACCATGGGCAACTGCTCCAGATTCTGTCTCCTCCATTTTTGATACATTCCTCTGATTGAGTTTAATACTTTCTGATGAGCTGAAGTTAACATGCTAATCATGAGTTCTGATTTCACTTTACTTTTACTTTACTAGTTTTACTTGCTTTATGCCTGTTGCAAGTCAGTAATTTATTATTCAAGTCAATGGCAGCCAAACAAGTAGCATTTTTATGACTTCAGCAATGGCAGTCTACATAGTTCTAGCAGCAGGTTTTTTGATAACGAAGCAGTTAAACTTTGTGTCTAATATATTATTTAACTCAGGTCTATAAAACCCAAACATTTCCTGTGCCAAAGGATGTTAATGAGTGGAGCACAGAATCCTCAAATATTAGGGGGATAAACTGGCTCCATGTATTTTGGGACAATTAACTTTGAACTTTAAACTGAACAGTGATTCATTTTGTATAGTGATGACACTTGAGACACCCACAGTAGATATGTTTACATATGTTAAGCTAGAAATACACACCTGGTAGATAGCGGTGTCATCTCTTGCCCCACCAACGATATTACTGTAATTAGAGTGCACACTGAAAAAAAAAGTGAAAGGTTGTAAAAATACACATTAACATAAGGGACTGACAGAAAACACTATACAGTATACACGGTGTGAATGATGTTTGCTGCGCACTATTGCCACTAGATGGAGCCAAGGAGCAAAATTTGCTATGCTCCTCTGCTCCATCTAGTGGCAGTAATTTGCTGAGAACAATCATTCATGCAGCTATACAAATGTGTTATGAATCGGTGCCCAAGAGTTTTCAAGTACAGGCTGAAAATATTTTTGCAAAAAGGACTGGGCTTTAATATAATTATGAAAGCTGCACTGAAATGAAAATTTCAAAACCGAAACGAAACCGAAATTCAAAAAATGTCAGGCTGACAACCGAAAATGTTTTTTATTTTAACTTTTTTTTAAATTTTTACAAATATTTTATTGTTATTTATTTTTTATGAACGTTTAATTTTTTTATATTTTATTTTAATTCATTCATTTTTATTAAATATTTTGATTTTTTACTTTACTTTTAGGGGCTTCGGGGGAATATTGGGGGTCTAAACAGACCCCTGATATTTCCCTTTTAAAATAGAAAAAGAGATTGAGGAC